AAGAAAAGCTTAACCGGCAGAGGAAAGACTCCCATGGAAGCTTTTGGCCTGTGGGCATTGATTCAGGACAGTCTGGGGAATTGTCCCTGAGGCAGACAAAACCCTCCGCTCTGTCCGCAGTGTCTGAGAAAACTTTCACTCTGCTGAGGCTACCACTGTGTGGAAACACTGTACCCTCAAAATTAGTTCCCTCTTGGCCAAAGTTCAGGAAGCAGAAGTTTTGGGAAAACTTGTTGGTCTTTCTCTCTCTTGGGAAAAACTTAAAAGCCTTTCAGAACTTCCTTTCTCAGTTTTGCTTTCTGTAAGGGCAAAAATTAGCTTCACCTTGATGGGAAAGTTCCCTGAGGCAAGGGCCTGATGAAAGTGCAGGCAGATTCCTCCCTGAAGGGAGGAGCTGCTGATAAAGCAGTAAAGCTGAGCCTCTTGACTGTGGCTGTGCTGCAGCATCAGGGACCCTGAAAAGCTGAGGCAGGACAGGCCGGAGAACTGTCCTGAAGGGAAATTCTAAAAAGATGTTTCTGAAAAAAACTTTTGTTTCAAGTACTTTCATTTCCCTCACTGACCACTGACCTGGTACCAATGAAGAACAAGCCTAGAGAGAATTTTGCCTCAGGCAATAATCTGCAGCCTGAATTTTTGGACAAATGAATGCAAAGCTTGGGAACAGGGTCTGATGAAAGATCTAATTGGAGAGATATACCTGTTAAGTGTGTGTGGGGGGGGGGCAGGCATCTTAACACAAACTTAGGAAAGAGAAATCTCCCTTTGCAAAAGCAAAACCCTGTAAAGGGAACTGGAAGGTTGCTAGTGTACCCGAAAGGCGTTCTGGGAAATGTAGTATAAATGCAGGGTTGAAACAGTTCCTTATATTGTCTAATAGCTGCACAAGGAGTTTTTGCTAAGAGTTTTACAGCAGTTCAATATAGTAATTTCACCCTTAGCCTGAAGGGGAAGCTTTTTGGTAGAGCAAACCAAAAGTTCTGCTGTCACAGAAATGCTTGTCTGAATTAAAGCCATTAGGGGAGCTGTTATGAATTTGGCTAAAGGGACAGCCTCTAGTTAGAAACCATTTGCTGATGAGCTCATCTCTGCCAGTTCTGGAATGGCCGAGAGAGCTCAGGAGGGAAAGATGACTTTGGGGTGTGGCTTTGTCCTGAGAATGCTGCAGCTCTCTAGCAACAAGTGTTATAACCCCATAGTGACAGTACTCACTAAAATCCCAGGGTTGAGATAGCCATTGCCAAATTAGACTCTTGTTTTAAACTCTCAAGAACTTTTAGAGTAATACCAAAGGTGACTATAAATTCTGAACTTTAGAAATGACTTGCGATAGGCTTTAGGTCTAAGGATATGGTGAAGGTTTAATAAAAAATTCACTTAGAGTAGAATAGGAACCTGGGATGCAGAAAGTAGTGTCTCTAGCAGACTTGGCAGTTCCAAAAGCCACCAATAACAAGAAGCAGCTCTAGAGACTGCCAACTTCAGAAAGAAGCAGCCAGGTGTCCACTGCTGAGACCCATGGAACATCATAGCTTCCCAAGCAGCAGACGCCAAGACCCAGAGAAAGCAGACCAGCACTAGTGGCAAAGGTCTGCACACTTTCAGCTGTAAAGAAGCCATGGTTAGAAGTGGACACACTAAGCCATGAAAAAGGCAAATGGTAGGCAGCATCTTGGAAAGCCCAGCAGTGATGCCACGTCATGGGAAAAGTGAACAGTGAGCAGAGCAGCAGTGAACAGTGGAGACGGCAGAGACCAGCCTGGACTTCTCCAGGACTGGAGAAGTGGTGTCAGTGCTGGACGAGCAGCTAAGACACATCCAGACTGGGGATCTGTGGCAGGGACCTGGTTTGTTGAGCACTTGGACCATCAGTAAAGCAGGTAATAGGGACTCTCCCAAAGCAGGAGTTTCTGTGGGAAGGCCACAGTTTAGTTCATGGCAGCTGAAGGAGCCTTGAGCCCGTGTGGCTGTGAGGTGAAGTTCTCTAGCCTAGTCGGGGAGTGGCCAGGCTACAGAAGGCTATAGACTGCAAAATGCAGTGGTAGCTGAGAGCGATAGTTTCAGAGAGACTTGCTTGAACTGAAAAGTTTTGGTTATGGGACTTCTTGTATTTGGAGCTGTTTGTTTCAGAGTCATTATGACTCTGACATCAATACACAGACTTACAGGCAGCTGAAAAGCTAGGCCCTGATTTTGAGTGCTCAGAGGAAATTTTAGGAATGGTACTAGAACTCTTTTTGAACTTTTGAACTTAAGAAATGAAATGGACAGTAATAATTTCATTACAATGGGACACACACACACCACATGTATCCACATACTATGCCCACACTTGCCATACCTACCCACTCTCATATGAAGATTTAATGGATAGAAGATAATCCAGATATATGACTTCTGAAATCAGTTTTGGTAAATTATAGATTCTAGGTTTTTTTTTTCTTTTCATATAAGCTTTTAAATGTATTAAAATAAGGTTGATTGCATTTGGATACTTTCTATAATTCTGTAGTATTTACAAGTTGAAAGTTCTGTGAGATAGAGATTGGTAACTTTAATCTTTGTTGTATACCTAGAACTCAGAAAAATCATTGGCTCAAAAACTTCTGAAGAATGAACCAATGAATCGGAATTTATGCCGGCTATCCAGTGCCTGGTGAGTTTTCTTTTCTTTGTCTGACAAGTACTGGAAGACTGTTGTTGATTTTATTGGTCCTTTCCAAACAAGGAATTTCTGACTTTATTAAACAATTTGCTAACCAGTTTCTGCTCTTATGTTCTTTATGTCTTGCATTTTATTTCCTTTTAATTTATCCTCATGTTCACTGTGTATCATCACAGGCTGTAAGGTTGGTATATTAATTTTCAGACTTTCTTGGTTTCTCCCATATGCTTAGTTATTCCCCTACTTTTGGACACAGATTGTTTTCAATTTCATTTAGTCCCTAAGTAGTTCTCAGTTTCAATTACAATTACCATTGAGAACCATAAGGAATGTAGGAAAGAGTTCTCAACTTTAATCAATTACATGCCTTTCATCTTATTTTTAAAGGCTTCTAATTGAAGTATTTTGTTGCATTATGATAAAATATCATTTTCTTAAAATGTATTAAGAGTTGTTTTATGGCTTAGTACATGGTTACATCATGGTAAGTGTTGATCACGAAGTTGATAAGGACGTATATTCTGTATACACAAGCCTCTTTATTTACCCAATAAATCAAGTATGTCAACTGTCATTTGAATCCTCAGTATTTTTATAATTTTTTAACTGTTTTCATGCTTGAAAATGGGACATTAAAGCATTCCACTAAGATAGTAGACTTGTCCTTTTATTTCTCTAAAGTTTTAATGAGCTTGGTGTGCACACATACAAATAAAAATTAAAATACATACGCAATTGTAAATATACTTACATTTTTCACACTTATACATTTAAAAACATATATGCTGCTGCACAAGATACATACAGATTTGGGATGCTTGTACCTTCCTGGCAAGTTTGATATTTTTAGTTGGGCCCATCTCTCTTTCTCTAATGCTTTATCTAGTATCAGTACAGTTAGTATAGCTTCTTTTGGGTACTTTTTTGATAATATTTTTGCTTATTGTTATTGTCAACCCTTTAGGTTTGCATTAGATAGGCCTATCTCTTGTAAAGAGCAGATGCTGCATATAATTTTCTCTTGAATCTGGCAAACTATTTCATTACCAATTCTTCATTTAGATTTAATATTATAGGCAAATAGATATTATTGAGCCTGTATGTTATTATATTATACTATATGTTAGATATTATTATATATACCCTTAATGAATTCAAATCACTTGGTTATTTGTGTGTGTGTATATGTGTGTGTATACAAGTATGTATGTGAAAAAAAAACAACATAGGCATGGTGATATGTGCCTGTAATCCCAGTACTGGGAGGTGGAGACAGGAAGATTCTGGCTAGCCATCCAGTCAATTAGTGAGTTACAGGTTCAGTATGTGCCCTACCTCAAAAAATAAGGTAGAAAATGTTGGAGGAAAGCAAGGTTTGAGATACTTTTTCTTTTGGCCATGTTGGACAGTGAGTCATTAGCAACAACAAGTCAGGGTTTCCATCTGTACACTAGGGCTTCCCCTTCCAACTCTGCCTTGCTCTGAGAACATATCAGCTTAACTTGATGACATCATACTGGGAACCCTGGAGGACATCTGAGGTATCCTAGGCATCACCCTTCTGAACTGAAGCTAATCACAGTACTTGGTTAAGTCAGGGAAAATGAGTGAACCCCCATCCAATGTATAGACTCATAGGCTAAATACATAGGTGCTGAGTATAGCCACAATTAGAATATTTTGTTTTGTGACATTATGTACAGCACTAGCCAATAACCTGCCCTGTTGTCTTCTTAAAGTGGGGCCTGCTTTAGTAGTTGGTACTAAGGAAGTCACAATGAAAGCTTTTCTGTCCCTATCCCATTTCCTGGAAGAGAATGAGACATTTGTGCTTGCTTTCTTTACCCTGACACTCCTACACCTGTCACGGCTTCTGCAGTATTTATTTATACCAGTTTCCTTCCACATTTCTCTGCCCTTTATTACAAATGTGCCCTGGAAGCAGGAAGTGATTCACATCCCATCTACAGCACCTGGCACATAGTGGACCTCTCTGCAAATGTTTTTGCTTGAGTTAAATAAATGAATTTTGGGATTTGGAATGAACCAAAACAGCTGGCAGCATATGGAAAGTGGAAAAACCATACAAGCTGGTTCTTTACTCTGGGGGCTTTATGCTTTCCAGGAATTCCAAATAGGAGTTTGAAAGATAAGAGCCAACAGAGAGGAAAATCATGTTCATTCTGTTCTCCTGGGACCTTACATCTTCCACCACATGCCCACAGGCTTACAGAAAACTGTTTCCTGCCAATCCCCACACCCAGCTTCCCTATGTTCATGACAGGACTATGTTGAAGATATGAACCACATCTCACCATGGCACTTCTTGACCCACCTTTAAATCAGACACATCTCTGTAGCACTGCTCAGAGCGAGTGTGGTCTGATAGCTGTACATTCCAGAAGCAGGGGAGCTGATACACCAGGAAGGGGTTTTGTTTGATGACAGCATTGAAAATATCCTGTGGAATAAAAGCCAAGGACATAGTCAAGTGAGTGGGCAGGTTTAGCTTATAGGAGGACATCTCTCAAACATCCTGCTCTGGGCATAGCACTGCTCCCATTGTGGAGAGTTTTCCTGACTGCTTTCTACAGGAACCAAGGGGTAATGTCTGGATAGGCACAAAGGAATGTTATAGACCAACATGATTGACTCAGTGCTTATGAGTCCAGCTGGCCATCATCCAGCAAGGTCACACAGGGCAGATAGGGAATGACTTTCCCATGCTGGCTATCATAAAATAAATCAACTCCCTTTTCCTCCCCTTGTCTCATCCTAAGTGGGAGCTCTGTGCTATCCTGAGCCTTCTGGAGAGGAAACAATGTGGCTCAACTTATCCAGAGGGTTGAGACAAACTACAGATCCTCATTTCTAGTACCTCTTTCTTAGGGCTTTAGGTTGGCCTGGTGATGAATGCTCCTTGGATTTCTGCAGGCCGTAGCACCCAGAGTGCAACTCCCTACTTTAAACTCCTACTCCAACTTGTCTAGGAAGGATTTTTTTTTTAACCATGTTTGAGCTCCCTCCAAACCTAATATGTAGCCCAATTTATTAGTCAGCTACTTGACAGGTCGTGCTGGGAGGTGAATTATGGGCCTTTATGGCATAAGATGGCTGAACAAACTATCCTCACTTGACACAGATACACAATTTTTAGCTTTGGGGAGATACATTCAGGTCACTGTTATATGACTTGAAATATGAGGACAGCAGACAAGTTTCCTCTCAGGTCTTAGACAGCACCTGCATTGTTTTATTTTAGTTTTACACTCACTCATTATGCTGTATCTCATTGCTTAGGAAGGGAGATCAGTTTTTGGCTCCTTGGGAAATACTGAATAATAATGGTTAAAAAAGAGAGAGAGAAAGAAAAAACAGTTGTATAACCTTGCAGATTTTCTTGGCTCCTCTGTATTTGAAAACTTTGTTGAAATTTGACAAAGGAATCATGAGGCATGAACTCAGGATGGAAAGGAAAGGAAGAAATGAAGAAAACCCAGAGAGAGTATCTTCACACCTCAAGATGGACAGCAACATCATAAGAAGGTAAAATCAAGTGAGTGATCCTGAATTGAAGTCAAACAGACCCCATGCCTTTCCCAGTCAAAATGATACATGTGTTTTAACAAATATTAGTTAATCATTTGTTGGAGTTGTAGGGCCTTCTCAGACTGTCTGCTTAAGGTCTGTTTTTCCTGCTTAAATGCAATTGCCTTGAGTTGAGGGCTACCAGGATTAGGATCACAGTTTTAGGTTACACATTACATGCTGATTTTCAGATGTATGTGAAATATTTCAGAAATAACCATGGCATTTTGGGACCGTAGGGAGCAGGTACATTCCACAATGATGGTAAAGATGGTACTCATGCCTTTTCACAGAGCAGACTGTTATCCACTTGTGAGTCTGATTCCATAAACAATGAACTTTGTGAGGTAAAGAACCTGGGTCCTACCACTGGAGACATGGCTCAGTGGTTAAGAGCACTGGCTATTGTTCCAGAGAAGCCAGGTTTGATTCCCAGCAACCATACGGAGGTTCACAAGCACTGTAAACTTCAGTTAGAGGATCTGACACCCTCTTCTGGCCTGCATGGGTGCCAGACACACATGAGGTCCAGAGACATACATGCAGGAAAAATATAATTACACATAAGGTAAATAAAGAAAATAATCAGGTCCTTTACTTACCTGTCATCTTTGTACATGTCTTAGTATACAATGTCCAGTGAATATTTTTTGACTGAGTGTATGAACGAACCAATGAACTGAGACCCATCCAATTATTAACAGGAGTCTTTGAAAAACTGATCAGGTCTGCTGTAGTTTGGGGTCTGGGATATTCTCCCAAAGGTCTATGTGCTAAACTACTGGTTCTAAATGCTGGATTATCACTGGAGGTCTTTAAATCTTTGATAGGTAGGATTTAGTGGAGAGTTTTAAGGTCACTGGAAGAACACATGTTAGGGGGATTGTGGGGACCCAGTGTCTTCTTTGATGTCCTTATTGTGAGGCGAGCAGATATGATCCTACATGTGCTTGCCAGTTTTATGGTTTTAGACCAAGAGCAATATGGTCAACCAACTATGGGTTAAGCCTACTAAACTGTGATACAAAATGAACCTCATAATCCAGGCTTGGTGGCACATACATGTACATCCCAGAACTTGGGAAACAGACAGGAGACTTGCTAGTTCAAGGCAGCCTGGAGTATATCCTGAGAATTTGTTTGAGAAAAAAACAATGAAATAAACCAAATTGTAACAAAAACATCTTACTCAGTTTTACTATAGTAACAACACAGTATGCACTAACAGGAGGGTACTCAGGTGTAAGGATGCCTGTCACTGGCCACTCACCTGGTCAGCTAAGGAGGTAGACAGCATGCCCATGAGCTCCCTCTCAGCTGTCAGCCTCCACATCTGTTCCCATTTCATCTTGCGCAGCTTATCCAGAAGCAGGAGTATGACTCCTGGGCAACAACATAGGATAGAAGAAGATGAGCAACAAACAGTGAGATGTTACGAGACACATCAGCCAGCTTATTTACCTGCAAGGATGATTTTTCCCTCCCAAAGCTCAGGCAGCCGGCCTTCATCATACAGGGTGCATGGTTTGGAGATGAAGAGTCACGGCCTCAGCACCAGGCTATGCCAAATACTGATCAAGTGTAAAACTAAGTCACATCTTTGAAAAATACTCACTATATAGGAAAGAGTATTAAGGTAGGTACCAAAGTAACTCCTAGTACTTTCTGGAGTTATTTTGTGGTGACAGTTATATTATTGGGTTAAAATAATAAATTTCTATTATTTATGTACTATTTATAAACTATTATCACAGTAATAATAACAGGAGATTGTGCTGTGAACTTGATGTGCAGTATATGTCTCACAAATACTAGTTTCTCTTCTGTGTTATCTCTGGAGACATGACAACCTTAGTATGACTGATACGTGGCACTTGCACAATACACACCATTTGCTTTTTTTCAGGAAAAAAATACAATATCTTTTCTACAACTTCACTCTGATTACAAGTTTCAGTTTTAGTTACTTAAATTTTTTTTGTGTTTGAATGTTTGCCTGCATGTGTGTACATGTGCATTTGGTACCCACAGAGACCAGAAGAGGGTGCCTGATTCTCTGAAATTTGAATTACAGTAGCTTGTGAGCTGTTGTGTGGGTGATGCGAATAGAACTCAAGTCCTGTTCAAGAGCAAGTGCTTTTAACCTCTGAGTCAACATTCCAACCCCTTCTGAGTATGTCTTTATTATCTAAAAGTACTGACCAGCCACACACCCTGGCCTTGCTGTTCCTGATTTCAGAACAGCTTTCCTTGGCTCAGTGATAATAAGCATGCGTGTCAATCAATGGGAAGGCAGTTCTTATGCTGGGTCTTTAACACAAATGTCAAAGCTTTGTGTTTATAAGAAACTATTAACAAGAGCCTATTGTTTCTTTCTCATCACCTCTTTATGGTGAATTTTTATAGGGCTGGACTTGAAGCAAATGGGGCAGGTGTAGAGAAGTTTTCTACTGAATACACTCTTGTCTTTAGAAAAAGGGGAAACAATTAAATGTAGTATTAAGGCCAGAAAACTCAAAATAAAGTCTAACAAGGAATGTGTATTTTGGCTTAGCTGAGTGAATTGAAGGCAGTTATCTACCAACAATTCAGACCAAGTGGGCAGAAAAAGCCAAATTTGGAACAAGAGGCCACGTAGCCAAGGTGGTGAAGGGAACTGCTACACATTTGGGTCCCCAAAGCAATCCCAATCATGATGATTAACTCAGCAGAAGGGCCACTGTCCAGGCTGCTAAACATATCAGTTGATACTTAGACACATATCTCTAAGATTCCCAGAAGGAAACTGAGTTCTTCCTTCCTGGCAGACATACATATTGACTCTAATACTTTTTACTTATTCTAGTGGTACATGTTTGGAGAAAATAACTATTGACAGAAGGCTTTAGGCAGAGAAAATTTGAAAAAATGGTAAGAATAGAGTGACACAGAGATATGTATTTATGAGTCACAAGGTGAATTAAGCTGATTATCTATATCCTTCATGCATATTGGCTTTTTTAAAATACCATTTGCCTCAATGCTCCAAGATCTTTTGAAGACAAATGTCATTCTTATTTTGCTAGAGGGGAAACTGAGAGGCTACTCAGGCACCTGTCTAATTTAGAGTTGAAAAACCAGGTAGACCAGTGTGGGTGTACCTTACTCCAAAGCCAATGCTTCTTCACTATTCCACACAGACCTGAGCCCCAGAGCCATTTGAAGCCATGGGATGACTCCTCCTCCTCCTTCCCCTCCTCCTTTTTTGATTTAGTTTCTACATAGGTAAAAATGAGGAAAATACTACTTGACTCACCAACACTTAAAAAACTGACGTGTCTTCTTGTGGTAGCCTGATAACGTTAGCAGACAGTTATCCCAAGAAGACTGGTAGTGCTTGCCAGTTTACAGTGTAGATACTCTTAGCTTGGGGCATTTGGGTAATGTGGTATCATTGACATGGGAAGAAAAACAGATGATTGGCATCCTACCCCCACACACCAGAGGATGCCAGCCAGTTCCACCACACCATAGAAATTGTTCCCTAAACAAAGAGATATTTCAAGAAAGAGTAAAATTCACACACACACACACACACACACACACACACACACACACACACACACAGAGAGAGAGAGAGAGAGAGAGAGAGAAGGTATATTGCTATGATTGGTTTAATAAAGAGCTGAACAGCCAATAGGTAGTAGGCTAGAGGTGTAGGTGGAACTTCTGGGCAGAGAGAGGAAGAAGGAGGAGATAATCCAGGCACAGGGGAGACTCCAATGAGGCATGGAGGAAGTTGGACAAATACAGAATGAAAGAAAGGTAAAAGGCCATATAGTAAAATGTAGAGTAATAGAAATGGAGCAATTTAAGATATAAGAGCTAGTTAGGAACCCTAAGTTATAGGCTGAGCTTTCATAATAACACTGTCTCTGTGTCATTATTTGTGAGCTGGGAGTTGGGGGAGCAGAGAAAGACTTGTTACAGAACAGGGATCAGTGAAAGGAGAAATGGAGAAGAGGAGGATATATGACTAAGAACCAAGTACACACAATAACACATGTGTATGAAATGCCATAATGAAACCCTTTACCCTCATGCTAAAACTATTTAGTAAAAGAATCTTATTTATTTTGGGAAGAGAATAAAATAATTTTTTGGTGAGGTACAAAACAGGACAATACAGTGATATAAGACTAGGGAGAAAAAAACAGACCCCAGTCTAAAGTGTATGAGAGATTTCATCAACTGTTACTGAAAAAACTAATTTAAGTTGGGTAAAAAGAGAGGCTGGGCAAGCTACAGGTGGTAATGAAAGATCTTAAGGAGCATTCTTAAAGGTCTAGAGAGGTCTATGTGGATCTTTGAACTATGGAGTCTGAACTTAGCATCACTACTATTAAATGGCACTACGTCTTGGTGGATAAGGTGGCAGACTTTGTTCAGCACTGACAACAAGGCTCTTTGGAGAGGTTGTAGAGTCAAGAACCAAGGACTAAATGAAGAAACTCAAGACTGTTCTTCCAGTTTCACAGATTTTAACTTTACATGATGTAGCTTAATTTTACAATGATTACATTTCAAGCCAACAAAAAATGTAGAAGTTAATGTAAAGAATACCCTATACCCAGGCACAAGAAATGCCAAAAGTAAAACATGATTGATGAATCCTAAGATCCACCATCGCATTTTACCTGCTCCTTCCCTCAGATACAACCAGTCTCCTGTGGGGGTTGTTTTATGTCTTTGTATGTTCTCACATTTTTTAATCTCTATCTATATGGTAATAAGTAATATTTGGTGGGTTTTTTTGGTATATGTGTTTCATATTGCACATGCTCTATTCTAACTTGCCTGTATACTTACTGTTATCTTTTAAAAATATTTAAAATATTTTATGTGTGTGAGCATGTTCATGTGTGTTTGGGTGCATGTGTAAGTGCATGTGTACGTGTGTATATATATGGAGGTCAAAGGATAATCTAAGGTATTGTTCCTCATTGAGTAGTGTCTACCTTGCTTAGTTATTTACTCATTTATTTTTTGAGACTGGGCTGGGAGAAGCAGTTAGGAGAAACTTCTAAATAATGCCATTTCGATGAAATCCAAAAGAAGAACAGGAACGATATTTAGGCAAGGCAAGGAAGAGTGACATGTCAAGGGAGATAGGCTCTTCCCTGCAGGGCAGTGGTTTCACTGGAGAAGGACATCAGGTTATAAATATTTCCGAACATATCTGAAGAGCAGAACTTAACAGAAAACAATGACCTGTTCCCTGTTTTCTGCCAATGAAAGATTAAAAAGAGACTGGGAAGAACATTTATCTTTGCTCATAAATCCATAATTAGTTACAAGTTATTTATACAATACATATCTTTGTACCCTCAGACTGATGCCCAGAAGGAACCATCTGGAACAGATGCCAAGGAACTGTCCCTAATGGGGAAGCTTAATGCAAAAACAGAACATTGCAGCAACTTTGGTAACTAAGGTCTGATACCATTACACACTACCAAGGATCCCTGAAAAAGCCACTGTGTCTCTGAGCCCTAGTTTCTTACTTGTAACCTAGGAACTATTTCACCCCAGTGGCAAGATGACTTTTAGAACTGAGAATCAGATCTTTAAACATACCTTGAATAGGCATGATACCCATGGAAAAACGATCTGATAATTGATGTCCATAACTAGGAATTCATTTTCTAGCCTGCATTCATATAATTACACTAAATACCTTCAAAAATGTCTTCTCTCTGTGTAATGAATTGAACACTTGAAATACTGACATATTCCTAGAGCCACATCCCTCTACTCTTCTGGTAATATTCAACTTACATGTTATAACCAACCTGTGGTTATTAGGAAACCCCTTGAGGTTTTGTAAGTGACAGCTAAAAGGTGCAATCAAAGGAAAGCAAAAGTAATAGTAAAGGAAAGGAGATCCACCACATGGAAATTTATGTGCATAAATTATGTTCTTGAGCAGTAAAAACAGCAGCTTAGGATGACAAATAGCATCACAATGACAAAAGCTTCTAGGAGTTTGTAAAGAGTAGGCAGAAGAGCTGAAGAATGGCATGTTCAAGAACAGAATTCCAAATAACAAAAAGAAGAAAGCCAACACAATGTTTCTAAGAACGAGAGAAACTTCTGCTATATATTGACCTTAGCCCTATGCTGTAGAGAGATACACTAACTGACCACAACAGGCTTCCACACCATGAATGGCATGTAATGGTTTGATAACTAAGTTCTGAAAACTATACATTTCCTCATTAAGGTGACTAATTGCTGAATGTGCACAATTCCCACTATAATTAATAAAAATTAATGCACATATATACAAAGTTGGGACAAGCCTTTAAAGTGAACACTGGTCCAAATAATGGAACTGGTACCAT